CACTGAGATTCTACGTTTCTTCTGCACAGCAGGAACATTTTCGGAAGTAGACGGTGCACATAACCAAACCAGAACTGCCCACAATATCTCTGCAGCACAGCTAATATTTTAAAAAGGTATTCCAAGAAGGTTCTAAATTGCATACGGCCACTTCTGCCTTTGATTTTCTTGTTTTGTACTTCAAACATTGGTGCTAAACTAAAGGCTTGGTAGCTAAAAAGTTAGCTTAACAATAGAGTTGCCAGAACGTGTTGTGTCAAAATAAGACGGGCTCAAATGATGCTCTGGCACTAATGGCAGTTACCCTCGTTTGAAAGCGGTGAAACAACCAGCTGCGCCTCTGCACCGTGACCCTTTTTCTGGCTTTACAGATGACCATGTAAGCAACATTACTTGCTAAGCTAACAGCCCAGACAAAGCCATCCGAGATCTGCGGCGTCAGGGCTGCAAAACAGTAGAGTCCCGAGAACAACATCACCATGGCAACATAACATGGCAACTTTTCCTGCTTCAGAGACAGCCACGTTTTTCTTAATTATATAGATTTTTTATTATTATTGTCCCTTGTGTGACAGTGACTTTGTGGCTGCAAGTAATGCAACTGCATAGGAACAACGGGGTTTTATCCTTTGAAAAGGGACAACAAGGGAAATGGTCGGATATCTAAGCATGTTAGTCTCCAAGCCAGGAACATTAGCATCCTCTTTACAAAGAAAAATATTTAAAGATAATTTTTATTGCCTTTCTGTCAATTCACAAAACCAAATTATCATTTTATTAATCTGAAACTGGTTTTGCCTCCAGCTCATTCCCTCCATTCACTGCCGTCTCTACAGCTTCTATGTGTTATCTCAAGACAAAATATTTTAGTACTAAGTGCGCCAAAGACGACTTTATATCTGAAAATATTTGAAAAATCAGGCTTAGCCCTGTAGGTTTAATGTCGCATACAAAGCAGGAAAACGTTTTTCATCTTAAAATCTTCTTGAAAACCCCTCTGAATGTGGTCCATTGTGTATTCCAAGCTGCTAATGTTCAGACCAAATTAGCGTAAAATCTGTTCATGTGAACATGAGCAGGGCTCTACCAATAAGTCAGGTTCTATTACAGAAAGTATTTTTGCATCTTTATTTCTGTTTCAACTTTTTCGTTGGAACTGGTAAAAAACTAACAGAAAAGAATCTGAATATCAAGGGAGGTGCCTCTGAGGTTTTCAGCCTCATAAATCGAACATGAGGACACATAATGAAGGTAGAGCGACGGGAACGAGGAACACCTTAATGCAGATTGATCCACAGAGACCAGAATGCAAATCGCCACTAATTGCATTGTTTACTACACCATGAAAGCCGAGCACTGTGCATGAGGGATGCTAATAGACACCAGGAAATGAGTCGATTTCAGGTTTGGTGCAGCAACCTGACACTTATTTTGTTTTTATTGCAATAAAAATGACACATGACTCCCAAAATATTAGCCTAGGTGAGATGTTACGTGTCAACATTGCGAGTAATAAGTAAATTATTTCTGTTCAGTTTGTTCACAAAAAAAAAGGTGTTTTCAGGAGTGTTATTGTCAGGATTTCTTCTGAAGTTTGTACTGAAAAACAAAAATGCCTTTGGGGATCTGACTGCTTTTGACTTCACTAACAAGTAACATAATATAGAAATTCTCTTTTCTGTAATAAACCAGATCACAGTGTGAATATTTATTGTACTGCTTTAAATACATAGCACTCTTAAAATGTGTAAAAGAACAAAACTGAAAAAGATTTGGACTTTGTTCGCCTGTTTATGTACAAAGAAAAACTCACAATGTGTTCATCTGATCTTCAGAATGCTGTTCTAGTCCTGTACACATACTCTGTGTGTCTAAATATGGATGCTTGCCACGTTGAGTGGAAGGCAGTTTCTCTGTTACACAGTATTGCCCTGCTTTGAAATGAGATGCACTGTTTTGCTGTACCATCTGCCACCGCCAAACAGGTGTGACTCAATTCAGTAATAGAATGAGGGAGGCAGTTGCGCACAGACCTTGGCAGGGCATTGAATATCACACATTGTAGGTGACATGAGCACATTGAATATTACATTTTAGTGGATTTTAGCCTTTTCCCTCATGCAGAGTAAATGCTGATGTTATTTTTGGGTCCTGTTTGAAATTTGTTTTTTTTGTGGGATTTTCTCTGTTTTTAATTTTTTGATTTGACTTACACTCTAACCTCTCCACCACAGTAAGATGGCAGCCCAGTTAGGGGCTGCCCTGGCCTGGAAGAAGTTTAAATTTCTACCTCCAACAGAACTTCCTAAATGTTCCAGGAGAAGAGGGGGGCATTGAGTCCAAGTGGGCCATGTTCTGTGCTTCCAATGTCGAGGCAACCGACTGAAGCTGCGGCCGCAGAGACATTGGTGCCTTTTGTAGTGGCAATCCCCAAACCTGCTGGTGGACACTGGCGATTAGGGATGCTGTCAAGCTGAAGAAAGAGTCTTATAAGTCTTCAGACACTGGGACTCCAGAGGCAGCTGATTGGTACGGGCAGGCCAAGTGGAATGCGGCTCGGATAGTTGCAGAGGTAAAAACACGGCATAGGACGATTTCGGACACCATCAAGTAATACTTCCCTATGGCTTCGAGGAGATTCTGGTCCACCATCTGATGCCGGCACTAGTGCGCTACCAGCAATGTTTATAGTGGGGATGGTGTGCTGCTAACCTAAAAGCTCTTCAGTGGCAAGACTCTAGGGGTGGACGAGATCCACCCAGATTTCTTTAAGGCCATGGATGGTGTAGGGTTGTATTGGTTGACGTGGCTCTGCAATTTTGCATGGAAATCAGGAGCAGTTCCACTGGAATGCAGAACGGGGTGGTGGTCCCCCTTTTTTAAAAAGTGGGTCCGTAGCTCTATACCCTTAGAGGGGTCCTAGAGTGTGCATGGGAGTTCACCCAACCAATCTACATGTGTTTTGTGGACTTGGAAAATGTGTTTGACCATGTCCCTCAAGAGGCCCTTTGGGAGACTCTTCAGGAGTATGGGGTACCAGGATCATTATTACGGGCTGTTAGGTCCCTGTAGGACTGGTGTCAGAGTGCATTGCCAGCAGTAAGCTGGGCTCATTTCCGGTGAGAGTTGGACTCTCTGAAAGCCTCCTTTTCATCATTGATTCTGTTCAAAACTTTTATGGGACAGGATTTCTAGGCACAGCCAAGGTGTTGAGGGGATCCTTTTTGGTGGCCCAAGGATCAGATCTCTGGTTTGTGCAGATGATGTGGTCCTATTGGTTTCCTCAGAATGTAAGCTGAGTGTGAAGCAACTGGAATGAGAATCAGCTCCTCTAATGGGCCATTCCCATCTGTACCGGGTCGGCCCGGGCCGGGTAGGGTAGGTTGTTTACATATCTGGGTGGCCTGGTATTTTTCCGGGCCAACCAAGGCTCATTCTTAGCCCTCTTCTCGAGGGAGTCTGCTTCAGGCCGACCAGGGCCAACACACCCACTGCTGACAGCAAATTCACACCTTCCATTAGAGCAAGCCTTTGATTGGTGGGTAGAATCAGCCCACATGGGCTTAAGGCAAGGATGTGTGGAATCAACCGGGCCAGGCTGGGGCCGACTGGGGCTACCCGGCCCGGGCCGACCCGGTACAGAAGGGAATGGCACATTAATCCGAGACCATGGTCTTGAGTCCGAAAAGGGTAGAGTGCCTTCTTCAGGTCAGGGATGAGGTCCTGCCTCAAATGGAGTTTAAGTATCTTGAGGTCTTGTTCATGAGTGAGGAAAAGATGGAGCGAGAGATCAAGACCCAAGACAAGCTGGAGGGACTATATTTCTCGGATGGCCAAGGAACACCTTAGGATTCTCTTGGAGGAGCTGGCCCATGTGGCTGGGGAGAGGGAAGTGAGGGGCTCCCTTCTTAGGCTACAGCTCCTGCGACCAGACCATGGATAAGTGGCTGAAGATGGATGGATGGATGGATTTGACTTGCGATCATCATGGGGGAGTTAGTAGTACCATTAGTCATCACACGCTGGTGAAATTAATCTGACCCATCCCTGTAGGAAGCATTGAGCTGCAGCTGTGGCTGAGCTCAGGAATTAATTGGTGGTTTAACCCCTTTTAAAAATGGGACCCAATGCATCCCTGGGTGTCACCTAACTTTAAAGTCTTTGGTATGACCTGACCAGGATTTGACCCCGATCTCCCAGTCCTAGGGTGTAAACTCTACCAGTAGTCCACTTAGAAGTTTAAAAAATTTACTGGTGCACCATTTCTGGGACCTAAAAGTTGCCAGCATCACAGCTGAGCTTCAAATGGCATGTTTTTTTGACATTGGACTGATGTTTGGAGATCTTACTTCAGATTTGATAACAACAACCCGACTCTGCCACTGACTTGCAACGTGGATGTTTTATTCCTACAGATAATTCAAGCCTGGAGGAGTTTTTGCTGAGTGGTGAAGTTGCTAATGCTAATGGTTAGCTTAAATTAGCTGAGACACCTGCTGCTGTTTCCCAGATGTTAAAATAACAACAGCCTTCCCTATCGTGAGTCAAGATGGGTGAGTCCTTGAAAGCTAATTCGCAATGTGATGTAGCTCTGTCAGGATTTTCAAATCCTAGAGTTTCATCGTCTAGTTTTCTTTCAGAAGCTAATGCAGGAGAAATTTTGTGGACTGCCTTAATGAAATACTCATACTCCAAAATATCCAAAACATGGATTCTCAGTCATCTGTAATATTAATACACTTTGTCCCGAAGGAGTAAATAATATCTTGAAGTATGTCTTTTTTACTAGACTCATTTATGAGGGTATCACATTAGTACTTTTATTAAATAATTGGACTTGAGCAAATCAACACATAAAATAAGAAGTCTGGCAAATTTGGTTGTCTTTTCATTTTTGTTCAGCTTTTTTTTTTTTCTTAAGCGTGCAGCACTTTGAGACACCTTGACTGGTATGAAGGTGTTCTGTAAACAAATGAAAGACGTGAAGAAGTCACACAAACCTTCTGAACATCTGGTAGCTTCTTACTCTCTGCAGCTGATTCCTCCGTCTGATTCTGGGAACATTCACTTGCATTCTAAAGGAAAAGAAGGTGCAAAATGTCAGTGAGGTGCACAGAGGAAATGTGTCAACCTCCCAACTGTGTGTTTAGTTGAAACAAATGAAGTGAGGAGCCCCATGTCGGTAATTGGATGAGCTTCATTAACTTCTTCTACCAAATAAAAATAATCCAATTACAGTTTTGTACTGTGCTTATTACAGAACATTTTTACACTAACTGCTAGACAAAACTAAAATTAGGTACATTTTCTCAACAAATGCTGGTTCATAAACAATCCTATTACTTTACAGCATATTAGGAGTAAAAGATGGTTTGAAACTGTTGATTATTTCTAATTACATGATAGTTACACATCTCAAATTAAATAAAGAAAGGTACATGTAACAATGAGACACTGTTCAATTCAATTCAATTCAAAGATACTTTATTAATCCTAGAGGGAAATTAAAGTTTCAATACACACATTTCTGAGATCAGACATACACACATGACAAGAATTGGTGACTGTGGTCATTTGCAACCTGAGTTGCGCTACCTTAATAGAGATCAGAGGTTTTATATATGAGGATTGAATAAGGTGGAGGAAAAAAAGGCACTTCAGAGTTACCCTCCACAGGGAGGGCAGCTTTTCTATGCAAAAAGCACCTCAGACAGAAATGCAACAGACTTCAGACGTTACACAACATAAGTGTCCACTGGATGGGGAGGTAGGGTAGAGGACCCTCCAATCATCAGAACATGCAGCCACGATAAGCAGCACTCGTCAGCTCCGTTTGGACAGGGGAGGGAGGTCGTTGGGTTTAGAGAGCACAGTGAATCCTGGAACGATTCAACGGCCTTCACTGGTCGCAGTCCTGCCCAGGCTGGGATAGGGAGACAGAGTTGCCATGGCAACTCATATATTTGTACACATATATATATATATATATATATATATATATATATATATATGTTACATATATATTTAATTATGTTTTATTGTTGAAGTAAATAAAAACATTGCTAAAATAGATATGCAAAAACAAGGTTTTAAATTAAGTTTATTTTGGTTGAGTGTTGTTTTGGTTTGCAGAATCCTTTTACTTTTAGGTATCTGTAAAGGCAAATGGTTAATTGTTGATAAATGGGTAAACAACAGTTAATCTTTTTCTTTTGCGTAACATTTACCTTACCCATGTTGTCTCCATGCAGGTGTGCACAGACAAAATCTTCCCTGGGGGTTTGTGCACACTTATATGATTCTGGGACTGTACCAACACTAAGTGGGTTGTGGAGAAGTAGTTTGGAATTGTGTGTTTTTCTGCATGAATTTGTTGTGATTATTGTGACTGAATAAGTTAAACTTGTTTGTTCAGTTTATGAATGTATTTGTTAGTTCTTTAATGTAAATAGGTCAATACCTTAAATACCGAACGTCATCCTGACAAGCATGTGACAGTACATTTAATGTTTCCCTATTGATTTCCTTTAAATTCCCGAGAAATATAAATCTCAGAGTGTTCCATGTATTTCCGCTTTATCTTCTTTGTAATCTTATTGTTTCCTATCCCTGCTGCAGGAAAACATCTTCACAGCACTGATGTTTGACTGTAGGGATGTTATTAAGAAGGTGACACATTGCTTTTCCCTTGGAGAGGGCTGGGATTTGTGGACAAATAGATCTAACCTTTGCTTCATCAGGTCAGAGATTTTTACCTCTTACACTCTGAGAAGTGTTCAGATTCTTGGCAAATTCCCAACAGGCTTCCATGGGCCTTTTAGTGAGAAATGGCTTTTGTTTGGACTCTTCACAGAAAAATGCCTGACTGGTCAAATAAAGCACCAGTGGACATCCCTCTGTGTGGCTCTCATTTTTACAAAGACACACTCAACCTTTCACAGACTTAATTTTTGTATCTTATGGAGACCTTTCCTTGGCAATCATCTTGGGTGAAAGGGTCCATGTGGAACATCTTCACAATTTTCCCCAAATAAAACCTCACAGAGAAGCAGGATTTCCACCTACATTTATAAATAGAGAAGCAGGATTTCCACCTACACTTATAAATAGAGGAGCAGGATTCCAACTTACATTTATAAATGGAGACAAGTGCAGGACCATTCAATTGTAGCCAGTTAATTAAATTAGTTGCAAATGGACCTTTGTCAAGCTCTCCAACAGTTCCATGAGTTGGTGCAGTGGTGGCAGAAGGGGTAATTACCCGCCTCGTAATTTGAGGTTAGCAGGTTCGAACCCTGTCTGTTGAAATTGTTGTGTCCTTGGGCAAGACACTTAACTCACATTGCCTGCTGGTGATGGTCAAAGGGACCAGTGGCGCTGGTGCTCGCCTCTGTCAGTGCGCCCCAAAGCAGTTGTGGCTACAATGTAGCTCATCACCACCAGCGTGTGAAGGAGTGTGTGCATGGGTGAATGATTGTTTGTGTTGTAAAGCAAAATGGGGGGGGGGGGGGGGGGTGTTAAGCCTAGAAGGGCCATTTACCATGAAAGACAAATTAACTTAAAGGATCACAAAAGATCTCTTGTTCAGGTCTCAAAATGGTTACACTCAGCCACAAGCCTTGGTTTTATGGGAATCAAGTGGGTGAATTACTTTGTGTTTTAATAACATCATTAATAATTACACAGTGGCAGGCACCTGATAAAAGCTGCTTCTGTACAAAAGAATAATTGAGTATTTTTAATCAAATCATGCCCTCAGCCACACCCTCCAAAGATGAACACCTGATGCTTCACACCACGAGACAATCTCAAGGCTGTTTGTTCGAAAACACACTGTTCTTTTCTTCCCAGCAAAACCAATTTAATTCTAATTTCCATCCAGTGTTACACATTCCCATCCTTTCCTTCATTTCCTCCCTGCCTTCAGTCACAGGAGCACAGGAGGAGATGTGGTGTTGGCAGGCAGATACAATATCTACATCTCTGGTTTGGATGTGTTTCTTCTCATCTCTGTCAGCATGGTCCTGCTTCTTGCTGCAGGGGTTTTTTGTGTCCTTGCTAAAATGATGAAATCAATTTTGAGGTGACAGTGTACACTGGTTTTGGCACAATTTCATTAAAAACTACATTTTAGTTAGAATTTAAACATGAGCTGGATGACATACCCTCATTGGTATATCCCTATCTCTTGTCCTGACCTTGTATTGTGTCATCATGGCTTGTGTCTAACAACTCTTATAGCCACGGGCCAAAATCTTTATGGACTATTCACTTCAGATTCCTTTAGATCCTCTTTATCTTAGCAGAAATACCTCTTTTAGATCCTGCTTGATAACTGACTGCTCTGAGTCACTGAGATCACGTTTGAGACTGTAAAGTACCTTGTGTGAAGAATCAGAATTCGAAGGGTCAGTGACTGCTTCTCCCTCTCTTCCCTCAAAAGCTGCTTTTAAGGCACTAAGTGAGCTCTTTGAAGCCGAGTGTGAATCTGGAAGGCTTATCTCAACTGCTACCGCATTACCTGCAGTTTTGGAGGGAATTAAAGAATAAACCTTTCAAAGTAGTTATTAAAAGTATAAAAACATGTTTGCAGGCTTGCTGATTTCTTTTTCATTGCTTCCTCATCCAGTCATCAGTTCAGAGCACCAAAAGATTAGCAGTTTAATATATTCAGTAAAAATAAATGAATGGAAAGTAACTTGATTTAATTCATATGCTATAACTTTACTTATTTATTTCAATAATGTAGTTTTTGTAGAAGTAATGCTTTGATTTCCTTCATTTGGAGAAACAGAATATGTTTCTAACCTACAATAGCTAATCTGAGGGGGACCAGTTACGCAACTACTGTACTAAAATAAGGTAAAGTCCCCAAAAAGAATTAAAAAAAAACTTAGGTTGAGCAAATGTAATCATTAGAAAAAAATTATTTGGGGATTTTCAGGTGACAATGTTACGTTGCCACTGTTGTCACACAGGGCAGCACACCTCTGTTACATAGAGTTGATCGGGTTGTTGATTGTGGCCTGTGGAATGTTGGTCCAGTCCTCTTCAATAGCTGTGTGAATTTGCTGAATATTGGCAGGAACTGGAACACGCTGTCGTATACGCCGATCCAGAGCATCCCAAACATGTTCAATGGGTGACATGTCTGGTGAGTGTGATGGCAATGCAAGAACTGGGATGTATTCAGTTTCCAGGAATTGTGTACAGATCCTTGCAATAAGGGGCCGTGTGTTATCATGCTGCAACAAGGTGATGGTCATGGATGAATGGCACAACAATGGGCCTCAGGATCTCGTCACGGTACCTCTGTGCATTCAAAATGCCACCAATAAAATGTACCTGTGTTTGTTGTCCACAACATACCCCTGTCCATTCCAGTACCCCACTGCCACCCTGGGCCACTTGTTCCACATCGTTGGCATCAGCAAACTGCTCACCCACACAACGCCACACACGCAGTCTGCCATCTGCCCTAAACACTAAAACCCAGGACTCATCTGTGAACAGAACACCTTTTCAATGTGCCAAACGACATTGAATGTGAGTGTTTGTCCATCCATCCATTCATTGATCCATCCATCATTTATTTATTAAGTACAATTAAAAACACAGCATTTCAGCTGTCCAAATTGTTGTACAGGAGGGCCAAAGGCCAAAAAAAAAAACCTGTGGGGGGCCACTCGACAAAATAGATGACAGATGGAAAAGTATGACAAGTTAGAAGTTAAAAGGGCCCAATTTGTACAAATTGTAGAAAAAGAAAACAGAATCTAACAGTAGCTAATACATTTTAAAGAAAATCAGAGGACAACTTAAAACAATCTAAAGTTTAATTTTGAGATAAAAATAATATAAAAACAAGTAAGTAAGTTGTTGGCTGAAGTGACAGCCAGAGATTACTGAATGATGCGAAGAGTTTGTTTCAGGGTCATGCGCAGTAGGCATTATTAAAGTAAAAAAAAAAAAAACAATTTTAAGCATAATTTGAAGTCAACCAGTGAGTCGGCAACCCAACTCACTGTGAGGTGGTAGGGCGTTCCAAAGTTTTGGTGCAATGTGGGAAAAAGGC